GTAGCATTGCAGGTAGCATTGCAGGTAGCATCACAGGTAGCATTGCCGGTATCATTGCAGGTAGCATTGCAGGTAGCATCACAGGTAGCATTGCCGGTATCATTGCAGGTAGCATTGCAGGTAGCATCACAGGTAGCATTGTTGTGTCTATGTGTGAGTGGGGTTTGCATGTTCTCCACAGGTTGGTTTGTCCAGGTATACCAGCATCCTCCAGCGGTACAAAAAAGTCTTTACATTGCCACAAGTGTATAATTAGGTGCGTTCCCACCAGAGTTCAGGAATGTGGTTCCTGGGCCACTCTCCTCTGTCAATTTGACAAGAACTTGGGCCTTTATTCTAAATAAGCATGGGAGATGCAAACAGCTCATATGTTAAACTTCACACATAATTTCACACATGCTTCTACAAACATTTGTGAAAGAATGGCTTGCTCTCAGGAGCTCAGTGAATTCAAGCGTGGTACCTTGATAGGATGCCACCTGTGCAATAAGTCCATCTGTGAAATTTCCTCGCTACTAAATATTCCACGATCAACTGTTTGTGGTATTATAACAAAGTGGAAGCAACGAAGTGGCAGGTCACGTAAAATCACAGAGCGGGGACAACGCATGCTGAGGCGCACAGTGTGCAGAAGTCGCCAACTGTCTGCAGAGTCAATAGCTACAGACCTCCAAACTTCATGTGGTTTTCATATTAGCTCAAGAACAGTGCGTATAGAACTCTACAGGAAATACTTTATAGTGCAATTTATCGCAAAGTCAGAAAAAATAACAGATTTGGCTATAAATTTATGCTACTGGTAGGAGAATATTTTAGGTAGGAAAAATTGTCAGAACACTTAATGTGGACAGGAGTCCGCCAGTTGGTGAACATTGGGTTAAGGAAGATGAAACCGTGGGCAGGGTTGCCAAGTTGGTCAGCTGGCTGGAGTTTGATTTTTAATTCAGGAGAAGTCTGTACACACATACACACACATTTACACGCATGTAGCACTTTTATTACCTTGTGAATAGTCTTTAGGGTTTGCAAACTACCCCAACGTTTTTGATGTAGCTAATTTTAGGTTTATAATGGAATAATATAGATTATATAGATTAGCCATAAGATTTTTCGCCTGAGTGCGAGAGTCTGAAAGTGTGAATGTCATGCCAGATATGTGATAGTTGGCAACCCGGCCTATGAAACCCTTTTCTGCATGCAGTCTCTGTCCTCTAGATTGAAATTGTAAGTAACCTCTCTGCCGAATTTTAAGCAACACTGACAGAATATGGCCACAACGTCACTGAAGAACAGAATTAGATGAAGCTAAACCCACAAAAGTTGCTAAAAATAACATTGCAGCTATGTCCTTTTGTCCTTTTTGGTTGCTCAACACTTCAAAGTGCATTTCGGGTTTGATAGCGGTCTTTTGAACCTGGCACTCCATTTAGTGTGTCCTTACAGGGATGCATAGGTTTGCATAATAATTCATTTATTGCATAATTGCAGATTTATTTTTTTAAAAGTTAGATGCAAAGTATTTATTTCTAAAAAAAAAGTTAGCACGATAGCTGCCAGATTAAAGGGATTTTGTTTGTGGTCAGCAATCTTTTGTCATTTGTCTCCAAATTTATAATGTGTCCCTTATATTTCATAGAAAGATTAGGTATGGAATATAGAGGTCTATAGAAAAACAAGAGTGGATATAGAGAAATTGATTCCAAGCACTTTTTATGTAGATAAGCCATACTACCTCTTTTATTTCCTGTTTCTCTGATGCTTTTTAAAATGTTAAAATTTACTGTTTTGTGTTTACCTTCACCTTTGATCTTCAGACTAATCTGTTACACATGTCTGAGCATTATAAACAATAGATATTTAATTTCTAGGTAATGCACATATACAGCATTATAATATCAACAAACTATATGAGACAATCCATAAGAAATTCATGATAATAATGTTCATAATTGTTTTATTGACACATATATAATATTTTGCAAACAAGCATTCTTTCATGGCTAATATATAGAATACGCTTATTTTGAAAATATGAGCTGCCAGTCTTGATCCAGACAATATATACAGTACAGTACCATGGGAAGGAAACTCTATAAAGCTATTTAAATGTATATTTGCTCAGAAAATACAATTTAACATTACATACAAATCAAAGGTTACTTGTTGGATGGCTAGAAGAACATAGCTTTGGTTTCACAAACCTCTCCTCGTGGACACCTCAGCCATGTATTTGTTAAATTTCAGCGGCAGCCCCCTTATTTAATTAACTTACTTATTTAAATAACTTGATGAGGTACTGATTAGCCAAACATATTATGCTAGTGGTTGAGTCAAGAAGAAAGACATGAGTGTATTAGATGATTACTGTTAATAATGGGGTGACATTTAGAGAGGCTCTGAAATGGTTAAGCTGACACAACTTGACAGCCATAAGAACATAGTTTTTATCAAAATGTTATTTGCACAGTACTGTTTGTGTAACTTCTTTTCAATGCTTATCCATGACACAGAGAATGGCAAACTGAAAACTGCTACCTATTACAGTCAAGCATCTTGATTATATATAGTGAAAGCGAACACTTAAGCACTGTACCCCGTTTTGGCAAATAGGCAGTGCCTTTCTCTTTTCTGAGATGGCAAAGTCATATGTTACTGGGATGACTATTGGTGCTGAGCTGTAAGCCTCCTCCGGAATGGGACATAACCCTGTTCCACAGCTGCAGGTAGGCGTCCCGGATTCGGCGTATCCGGAAGCCGTACAGGAGGGGGTTAATGGCCGAGTGGGCATGGGTCAGGAGGATACCGGTGTACACAACCTCTTTGGAAACAGCGTCGGGCCCCCTGAAGAAGGTTACGCTGTTCATCACGTTGAGGGGCAGCCAACAAGCGACGAAGAGCAGCAGCACCAGTGTCAGGACCTTGGTAAGGGCCTGCTCTTTCAGGAAGTAGGTCTGCTGCTCCATGTGCCTTGACAAACTGTCCCGCAAGCGTCGTCGAAGAATGTGGAACACACCACTGTAAAGGACCACCATTGCCAACAGGGGAGGCAGGATGACACCGAAGAAGGTGAAGTAGACGAGGTAGGCCAGGGGGATGACGTCAATGAAGCGACACAGCATGTCCGAGGAGTTAACAGGGGCGTTCGCTCTGAAAGCTTTGTGTGACCAGGGGAGCATGGGGGTAATGCTGAGCATGCCGGCTAGCAGCCAGCACAGCAGCACCGCTCCCACGGAACGTCGAGTCGTCACCAGGGTCTTGTACCTATGAATGCAGAGTCTGTCTCATCATCTCAGCCATCTCTACTTATGTCTGGAAACACTTGGCATTCGTTCACAACGGCCAAGCTGGTTTCATTTATTTTTAAAAAGGCAATTTTGACAACTAGAATATTATATATATATATATATATATATATATATATATATATATATATATATATATATATATATATATATATATATATATATATATATACACATACACACACACACACACACACACACACACAGTGGTACCTCGGTTCTCGAACTTAATCCGTTCCGGACTCCAGATCGAATCCTAAAAAGTTCGAGTTCTGATCGATTTTTTCCCATAAGAAATAATGGAAAACTAATTAATTGGTTCCCGGCCCCCCAAAATTACACCTAAATATGTTTTTTTTTTTAGCATTTAAACACAAAATAAACAGGATAAAACAAGAAGAGCATTTTTTTCTTAATGGCTTCCAAAACGATAAAGATCTTATCCCAACATTACCCATGTCCTGCCCTGATCGTCCGCTCCTTCCGTGTGCCACGCCCCCTCGTTAACCTCGTGTGGGATCCCCATGTGATCAGCTGTTTCTGGTTGTTGTCATTAGTCCTCTGTATTAAGTCCGCGTTTCATCTTGTTTGAGAAGTTAAACAATAAAAAAAAAAAAAAGTCCGCGTTTCAGTTTGTTTCCCCAGTCCGGACATTGGGTGCGTTCGACTTGCTTACAGCACTGGCTTAAAGCAACGCATTCTGATCCTGACGCAATGCATTACGGTTAGATGCATTGCGACATCTCACCCGGCTGCACAAACTGGAACCGCCTCCGTGACGACACACCTTTGCCCTTATTGGCTGAAGAATTTAGTTACACGCATGACGTTTGTATCCCAGGCAGTTCCGATGCGTAAACTGCTATTTCTCCCGAATATCACGTAAAGCAGTGAGAACTGGGTTTCAGTTAATTTGCTTGGTAAAATAAAGTTTAAATAAATTTTAATAGTTGTTGGAGTACGCCGCCTCCACCGGGTGAAGAGATTCACAGCTGACACGTGGAGAAGTTGCAGGTCACCAGTTTATTCTCTGACAGATTGCAATCAGGGAGCGACTATCCGACATACATTCAGCATGTACAGCAAGAAGCTCGAACCATAGTTGTCGGCTCTGTCTCTTTATAGGCCCTCCGGGATGTTCCCTCCCTTCTCGGTACTTTTCCATCTACGTGACTACAACATATTTTGACATTTGCTCTAGTTAGTCAGTGAGTACATGCCCCCCCCCCTTTATGTTAAGCAAAAGTTAAACTAAGTATCGCTTATATGATGTGTTCCTGTTTTCCAGCTGTCTGGGACGAGGTCACTAGTGATGCGCGGGTCGGGTATTTTTCCAACCCGCGGGTCCCGCTTTTATGAAATTATTTGGCTCGCCCCAGCCCGCCCCGCAAATAAAGTGACAATTTCTTTACCCGCCCCAACCCGACCCGCGGGTTACCCGCGGGGTCCGCGGGTTACGAGACGACCCGCGCATCACTACTGCTTGGCGCTTTCGTGACTTGTCACGTGACGTAACCTTATCAAAGAACTTAATAAAATATGAAAATAGANATTCCCAAATATTTAATAGGCTATAGGGAATTGCACGCAACATACATGGATTTTTTATTTAATTTTGTTTTTAATGACCCGCCCCAACCCGCCCCGCAAATAAAGTAACAATTTCTTTACCCGCCCCAACCCGACCCGCGGGTTACCCGCGGGGTCCGCGGGTTACGAGACGACCCGCGCATCACTAGAGGTCACCCTGCCCTGCTCGCACACTGTCAGTTCCTGATTTCTGTTAGCTGCATTATTTTAGAATCAACCCCTCAATTTCATCATGCCCTGCTTTAAGCTATATTCTCCTTTTCCTCTATTTATTGTATGTTCTTTATAATTCTATTGAATCCCACATAGTACACGTAAGTTAGTGGTTCATTTATTGTTAGTTACTGTAATGTTGCACTGCTTTATTTGGTTAATCGTCCAGCCTGTGAAGAAGGCATTCAAGTAAGAATTGCATTGTAGTATGACTCATTTCCTGGCGCGTACAATTTACATTAGGTCAGCGTTCACGGTTCTACTTCTGATATTCAGATAGAGTTCTAGGTCAAACTGGTTTGTTCGACTTTCAAGAAATTTGAGTTCTAGTGAGTTCGATAACCGAGGTACCACTGTGTGTATGTGTGTGTGTGTGTGTATATATATATATATACACTCTCAGCAAAAAAAGAAACGTCCCTTTTTCAGGACTGTGTATTTCAACAATAATGTTGTAAAAATCCAAATAACTTTACAGATCTTCATTGTAAAGGGTCTAAACAATGTTTGCCATGCATATTCAATTAACCATAATCAATTAATTAACATGCACATCCGAATATCACACCTACGTGACAGGTACAGGATGGCCACAACAACTGCCCGAGTCACACCAGGAACACACAAGCCCTCAGTCCAGCCTCTCTCAGCCTATTGCGGACAGTCTGAGCACTGATGGATGGATTGTGTGTTCCTGGTGTGACTCGGGCAGTTGTTGTGGCCATCCTGTACCTGTCACGCAGGTGTGATATTCGGATGTACCGATCCTGTGCAGGTGTTGTTACACGTGGTCTTCCACTGCGAGGATGATCAGCTGTCCTTCCTGTCTCCCTGTAGCGCTGTCTTAGGCGTCTCACAGTGCGGACATGGCAATTTATTGCCTTAGCCACATCAGCAGTCCTCATGCCTCCCTGCAACATGCCTAATGCACGTTCACGCAGATGAGCAGGGACCCTGGGCATCTTTCTTTGGGTGTTTTTCACAGTCGGTAGACAAGTCTCTTTAGTGTCCTGCGTTTTTAGAACTGTGACCTTAAATGCCTACTTTCTGTAAGCTGTTAAGGTCTTAATGACCATTCCACAGGTGCATGTTAATTAATTGATTATGGTTAATTGAACATGCATGGAAAACATTGTTTAAACCCTTTACAATGAAGATCTGTAAAGTTATTTGGATTTTTACAACATTATTGTTGAAATACACAGTCCTGAAAAAGGGACGTTTCTTTTTTTGCTGAGTATATATATATACATATATATATATATGGTACACACACACAAACAGCCCCTACACAAACCCCAGGCAGCAGGATGCTTTTAGAGGACTGCATCCTGCCGTTTCATGCAGAGGTACTGTTTACAAAATTACAAAGTTTATTATGGTAACTTCCTTTCTGTGGTATATAGCTGAAGCATTACATTACACATATCGCTGCTTCAGTTTTGGCATGCAGGTGTTTGTTCCTGTGGTACTGTCATGACTTGAGGGCATGCATTGTAGAAAAAATTTGAACATAAATGAACAGAGTATGTAAATGAACTAGACCGAGGGATCAATACAGGAGGACTGGACAATAGGAAGGTCAATGGCAACAAGGGGGAGTTCAATGTCAATTACTGGACTGTGGAACACAGGATTGGGAAGCATGTATATACAGAATTAACAAGGGAGCTGATGAGAGGCAGCGGGGAGTGATTATCATGAGGGTTAGGAACAAGATGTAAGATAAACGAGTACAGGCATGGTTTGCTAGGGTCATGCTAGGGAGGACACATGAGGGTCGGCTGGACATGGCTGGCAGTACGTGACAGTGCCCCCCCAGGCACGATGGAAGAACAGGGAAGGGGAACAAGAAGACCGAATGGAAGGGCAGATTTATGGGACAGGGGGGAGATGGGACACCTGACAACACAGGGCACACGGGATAGACTCTAACAAAGACCAGAGGAACTGAGTTCCTGGACTGGATAGAACAGAACGAAACACACTACATTAGGAAACACCAGATGGATGATATCCCAGGACATGGAACAAGACACAGGGCACAACTAGGGGCACGGAACTGATCTAGGTAACACTAGAGACAGCAAAGAGGACATCCAGTAAGTAACACACCAGGACAGAGCAGACAAGCAGAGGAACCACAGAGACAAGGACAGGAAGACAGGAGAAGACCACAGGAGACACAAGTCAGGGTAGAATAAAGGCAGAATGGGGCAATGGGACAGGGAATGAAATGCAATGAACAGAAATGGGGGACATCCGGGAAGTCTCCCAGACCCTGGAGAGCTGGGCAGCAAATGGTGGGCTGTGAGTCCTCCTGGGCCCATTCACTGGCGAGGTGGGGCCTGTCCGGACCACAGGACCAAAAAGCCTCTGAGTTCCAGCGGGGCTGGGTGGTACCAAGGGGACAGCGGGGCCGGAGGAGGAGGGCGCCCACAGAGAGAGACTCAGGGCAAGGCCCAGCCGGTCTCACTATAAGTGTTCTAGTAGGGGATCCTACGGATCCATCCCTTGCAAGCAGGCGGCAGCCAGGGAGTTAGGCGTCAGGCTGGCAGTGACCGGTAGGGGATGAGGAGAGTGCGAGGAGGCTGCCAGGGCAATGAGAAGATACAAGGCAGGCAACAGGGCAACAACAGGAGACGAGATGGGCACCAAGGTGACAGGGCAATAACGGGACAAGGTGGGCACCAGGGTGACAACAGGAGATGTGGAGGGCATCGGTTAAACATGAGAAGATGAGGCAGGTGCCAGCAGGACATTAGGAGACGAGGTGGGTACTGACAGGACATCAAGAGACAGAGCTGGAGCTGGTGGGACATCAGGAGATTTGGCTCGGCCAGGACACCTGGAGGTGAGCAAGGCGAAGCCAAGACAGCTGGAGACAGGCGGTGTGAAACTAGGGCACCTGGGCCAGATTTAGGAGGCATGGCTGACACGGGATCAAGTTCCTGGAACTTAGCTGGAGCTTCCTTCACTGGACTGAGCGCTTCGAGTGCAGGCAGAGGTGCCCTCTCTGGGCTGAGTGCATGGTGCATGACCTCTAGGAGTACAGCAGAGGTGTAGATGGGCTCTAGAGGTGTAGCAGAGGTGAAGACGGGCTGTGGAAGAGCAGCAGAGGAGGAGACGGGCTTTGGAGGTACGGCAGAGGTGAGGACACCTGCCAATGGGCCAGGTTCTGGAGACTCGGGAAGAGCGGTGGCATCTACTGGGCTAGGCTGTGGAGGCTCGAGATGAGTGGCCTCTCCCTGTTCGGGCTGTAGATGCTTGGGAAAAGCAGGTGCTGCCCCTGCAGGGCCGGACTCTGAAGGCTCAGGAGAAGTGAGTCCAGCCCCTCCTGGGCCGGACTTTGGAAGATCAGGCAGATCGAAGGGTCCACGCTCTGGAGGCGTGACAATGCCCTCATCTGGGCCTGGTGCTAGAGACACAATGGTGACCGCTCCTGGGCCTGGTGCTGGAGATGCGGTGGCAACCTCTTCTGGGCAGGATTCTGGAGGTGCTGAGTCAGGCAGGGTGACAGCCATGACAGCTAGGTTCCTCCTCAGTGGGCAACTCTGTGGCGAGCTGCGAGAAGCCAGCAGGCGATTCTGAGGCAAGGAGCCAGCAGGTGAATCAGCGATCAGTCGCTCCTTTTCCCCCCAGACTTCCTCCCCCTCCTGAGGATCTGCCTCTGGTGCGCGACCCATTAGTATCTCCCCTGCTTGCAG